CCAGCACTTGTTGTTGTTTGACTTCATAGTGGCTGCCAATCTTACTGGAGTGAGATGATATAACATTAGACTTTAAAAGGGATCATTTCAACTGTGCTTGGAGATCATCCTTCAAGGATACAATATCACTTTCATTTGCTAGTGGTAGTATTTGGCTAAAAATCTTTTTATTGTTGAGAAACAATGAGTCAGGCCAGTGCTTTGTAATTTTTTCATATCACATGCACGGAAAATGGTACTACTGTAAGGCACATGGGTATGAGTGGATGAAGCTGCTCTGGGCAGGAGATGGCGCCCTGTATTTTGGCATACCTGTCACTTTGGTCTCAGACACTAGTGGGCCAAGGCACATTGGTTAGAAAGTTTGCTTTGGATTGTGTAATGTTAACAGGTGATTTCCCTGAGGAGACAGTTATTAGGCAATTGTTCAGAATTATCATCTCTCCCTGTCAGCTCGAAGATTTAACACTGAACAATCTAAAGGTGAAGTCCTTATAGGTCCTTCCCTGCCACCATCCCTAGCTGCCATTTCTGGGAGAATTTCTTAAGAAATCTTCAGAACTCACTCCTGTGGAAGTGTCAGACTTCAGTAGTTCTGGAGCCTGGTATAGATCCTAAGAGAGCTAGTTAGGAGCACTGGGGACCTTTAAAACAAGAAAGGACCTTTATTTTTAACTGACATGCAACATACACATAGTAAAGTGCATTGATCTTATGTGTACAGTGGAATTATTACAAATAATTGTACAAATTATAGAACATTCCTGGCATCTCAGAGGGTCTTCCCATGACCCTTCCTTCTCAGCCCTTCTCCTCCCAGCTCAGAAATACACATCATTCTGCTTTTATCATCATCATCAATTGTGCCTGTTCTTGATCCTCACACAGTTGAATACTCTCTACAGAGTATATTCTTTTGAAACTAGCTTCTTTTATTCACCATAGTATCTCTGCAATTCATCCACGTAGTTGCATAACACTGAGTCTCTTTTGTAAATTTCCATTTAGTATTGTGTTGTATTTCATTCTTTCTTTAAAACCTAAAAAGTACAGAAATACTATGTATCACAATATTGAGAGTTACAACACCTGTGATTTTCATATTACATAATCCCAACAGAAATAAAAGGTAGATTGTAATGATCTACATAATATTGCAGTAAAAATTATTTTTAAAACTCATACCCCCAATTCCAAAAAATGACTTAGGGCATATACCACTTTAAAAATTGTCTGGATTTGATTCTGCTAGTTACTTTGCTCTAATGGTAGATAAGTAAATTTAAAGGAGGTGGTACATATACTGTAAGTAGAGAACCAATTCCAACTAGTAAATTAACTGTTACTTTGTTCAGGCACAAATCTGAAAAATATAAATTCTTTGTGATATTCTACCCTAAATATGAGTGATGTTTTAAAAAAATGTAAGAATGTTTTACTTATCTAAAAGTTCAATAGCCTGTTAATGAAAATTAATACAGAAAATCATACTGAAATCACTTTTGCCCATGTTATCTTTAAGCTTAAAATGTCATTTGAAAATATTGAAGTCCTTTATTATTTAGAGAACTGTCAACCAGGGAAACTTCATTGTGACATTGTGCTGCATAAAAACCATGTTTAACCCTCACATGACTATGGGAAAAATGTCTTCCATTGCAAAACAAGAGACAAAAGAAAGTCTACAAAGTCAGTTTGGTTTAGGCCAGCTGGTTATTGTCAGCTATTCAAAAAAAAGTCAGAGAGGCCCTCCCCTAAAACTTCCTTCCCAGCAGGAATTCTTTTGACAATGACTTCTGTTTAGGGTCTTCCTGTCACTGTTTATTTTGGGGGCTTTGGGGTGTTCTTTTTTTAATGCATCACTGAGGTAAAGAATTGTTCTGTGTTTGTATTTCTTAAAGAATTTGCCTTGCACTGATTTTAATATCATACCTTCAATTTCAAGAATTAATGTTTATATTGTTTGTCATAGGGTATAACATAACATGTAGAGCAGAAACCAAAATTTGATTTCAAGCTAAAGATCATTTCCAGATGATTTTTAGGTTTATTTTCTACTCGTTTCTCATTGTATCACATTATTTAATCCTATTTCTGTTACCATAGTTTTAATGTGGATACTTTGATTTTAATTCAGTGAAGTACAAAATTGTCTTTGCCTTTAGGAGGAAAAGAAAATCTTCAAAAAGAATGTTTGATTCAGTCAAAATATGTTTTTAAGTGATATGTTTTTAACTGAAATGTTTTTCTCCCAGCTTCCTATAAGTATGACTTAAGGACTTAGACAATCTTTAGAATCTTTTAATATTTATAACTCTTCTTAATTGTATGCTTTTCCTCACAGGGGACCATTTGCCCAAATCTTTGGAAGGATTTTTTATCTATGAAGAAGAAGGCTCTGGCATTCCAGGTTCTAACAGGAAAGGAAATGATGCCATTGTAGTAGAACAATGGACTGTCATTGAGGTGAGCTGCAGTCTCTAACATTTTACCCTTACCTTTATATTTATTTCACATGTTGGAGACCTTCATTGCTGAAACATGTAGAATCCTTAAACACAGATTTGACCATAGTTTGGAATTTTATCACAAATCCATAAAAAATTTCTTTCATACCCTTTACCCAATGTTGAAAGTAATGTGTTTTCTTCAATGCTAATTTTTTTGTAAGATAGCAAAATAAAATCTTTTCATAAATAGCAGGAGGTTCCAAAAACTTGGAATTCTCACCCTAAACACAGTCTCCTGGCATTGAGATTCTCTTTACACAATGCCATGACAACTGGTTGAAAGCAAAAAAAAAAATCAGTCACTCAACTAAGCATTTTCTCTCCAAGCAACCAATGTGACTGACTTTTCTTAACTTTATGAATTGACTTTTGAAAGCAAAAATATCCGAAAGGTGTTCTCTTTCTTACCAGGCCAAATATGTACACACAGCATTGTCCTTCATAATCAGAGATGACATTGCTGCTGATGTTATGCACTCTGAATTCAGATGTCACCGAATGGACTGCCCTTGAGGTGGACAGACTGAATTCAGGTATACTCTGTTATGTGTATATGGCCCTCGCTGATGGGCTCCTACAGTGACACTTGTGTCTTCCTAGCCTTACAAAGGTTAGAGAGACATAGCCCATTTTCAAAGTGACTAGGAATTTCACTGGGCGTGTGGGAGGTTTGAGGGGAAGAAGTGAAGTTTTCAGTTTTAAAAAACAAATTCCAAATGAATAAAAAGCAGCAAAAAAAAAAAAAATACAGCCAAGTTCCTCCCTCCCTCACTACTCAGTCCTCACTCTAAACTTTCATCCTCATTCCCCTAAATATGCTTCATAAAGTACTTGCATCCAAATCCCCTAGAAATTGTTTTTTATGTTTACTATCTTATTTTAATTTCTTAAATTTGTCCTAATTAGTTATACATGACAGTAGAATTCATTTTCACACATTGTATACAAATGGAGCACAGCTTCTCATTCTTCTGGCTGTACATGGTACAGAGTCACATGGGTCATGTAATCCCACATGTGTACAGGGTAATAATGTCTGTCTCAATCCACCATCCTTCCCACCTTGACACCTCCTCCCCTCCCCTCACTCCCCTTTTGCCAAATCCAAAGTTCCTCCATTCTTCCCTCATGCCCCAATATGGATCATTATCAGCTTATCAGAGAAAACATTTGGCCTTTGGTTTTTTGGATTTGGCTTATTTCACTTAGAATGATATTCCACAGCTCCATTCATTTACCTGTAAATGCCATAATTTCATTCTTCTTTAAGGCTAAGTTATATTCCATTGTGTATATAAAAAAATTTTTAAATGTAGATTATAAGTCCCCATGCTCTATCAAAACCAAAGGAAGATCCAAACTCCCACTCTCCACTCCCAGCATTTTTTTAATATTTATTTTTTAGTTTTCAGTAGACACAACATCTTTATTTTATTTTTATGTGGTGCTGAGGATCGAACCCAGCACCCCGTGCATGCCAGGCAAGCACGCTACCGCTTGAGCCACATCCCCAACCCCATTCCCAGCATTTTTAACTTGGTTCAATAGTTTGAAGGCAGCAGTAGCAGAAAATGAACCCAGTAATCTGGCAGCCCCATGAAATTGTACATAATAGAGAATGAACTTCCTTTGTCATAATACCCATCAACCTTGTCAGATTTACTTGTGTAACTGGCTTTACTTGTGTAACTGAAATTTACTTATGTAACTGTCTTTGCCATTAGATTGTGAACTCTTACGCTTATTTATGCAGGGCTGTGAAATCAAAACAGATTATGGCCCTCTGCTACACACTCTGGCTGAATTTGGATGGCTCCTGACAAGCGTGTTGCCTACACCCATATTGAGACATGACAGGTAATGCAAAAGTATCCTTTTCTGCTCTCATTTAATTCTAAAATAAGTTTACAATTTGTTTAACAAATGCCTGCCTAAAACCTACAAAAATCAGCCAGGCACATGCCTAAAAACCCAGCAGCTCTGGAGGCTGCAACAGGAGGATCGCAAGTTCAAAGCCAGCTTCAGCAAGCAACTGACATGCTAAGCAACTCAGTGAGATCCTATCTCTAAATAAAATATAAAATAGGGCTGACCATGTGGCTCAGTGTTCAAGTGCTCCTGAGTTCAATCCCCAGTACAAAAAAAAAACTCTACAAAAATCTTTTCAGCAAATTGCTAATTTGATATTATGGACTTTGGAGATTAACAAATTAAATCCCTTCATGTTACAGATGAACAGATTTCAGCACTACATGTGCAAAATGCTCTCATCCCCAGCTCACAGCCAGATTTAGGGCTGCAGTAAGTAGGGCCTAGAACAGGCAAGGGTAGAGAAGTATTTCTGCCTCCATCCTCCCCTCCACCAAAGTTGGTTAGTTTTCCCCTAAAGCATGGACTTACTTACTTGCTGTTTCCACCAAAATATCTACATTAAAACCAAAATGTCAAAACTTCACAGTACTAACTTTTCCTTTTTCTTTTCTCCTTTTACTAACTTTACTGGGAGGGAAAAATTGAACCACCGAACTTTAATTTTAATTTGTTTTTGAGAGACACCAATTAAATCCTCTGTATAAAATGGATTGCTAGCCCTTCAACCCAAAGATGTTCCCTCTGATGTCTTTGGCATCCAGAAAATGACTGATTGCCAGGACTGCTGTGACTGGGCTGGTAATTACTTACCCAGGATAGCACAGTACCACTTAACCAAAGGGGCCTTCCCCATTTGCAGAGTTAAGCATGGTTCCACACATTCTGAGTGATAGTCAGGTGTGACTACGGGAAGCAGCTTCTCCTCGTTCTGTATCTCACTTATCCTTTTCACCTTTTCTGGTTTTCCCAGTGTAGCAACTTGGCCCTGCCACTATCTAGCATTCCCACAATCTAAAAACATTTGATTGACATATCTTTATTTAAAAACTCCACATCTTCAGAAGGAAGAGGGGTTAGGGATAGGATTTAAGAAGGATACAAAGTGAAGACACTGAAGCATAAGAACAACAGCAGCAAAGAAAAAGAGAGAGAGAGAGAGAGAGAGAGAGAGAGAGAGAGAGAAGTGAAGTGATTAATCAGTTTTTCTTCTAGGCTATCTATTGTAACTATTCTCGAATTGAGTGACAACTCCCTGAAGCATTATTTCCCGACTTTTTCTATCTGTGACATACCTATCAAGTCACAATACAACACTAATTCTTAAGATTTGGGCTTCAGGCCAGGCATGGTAGTACATGATTATAATCCTAGCAACTCCCAAGAGGTAGATTGCAAGTTTGAGGCCAGCCTAAGCAACTCAGCAAGACTCTGTTTCAAAATTTTAAAACAATTTTTTTTAAAAGGCTGGGGATGTAGTTCAGTAGTTAAACTCCCCTGGGAAGCATGAAGCTGCACTTGATTTGACCCCCTTGTGCCAAAATAGTTAAGGTCACAATCTGCACTGAGTTCTTGAGAGACCCACGGCGTTGAGATGGCAGTATATTGTTTCTAGATCAGAGGGAGGGAGGGAGGCTCCAGAACCTCACCACCATTTAAGTTTCCCCTGTACCCTAGATCCTCTAAGCCATTAAGGAGTCACAAAAGTAGATTTTCTATGCCTTCCCTGTGAAAGCTTATCTTCACTAGAATGGCAAAGGAGCTAGTTTCTTATTTAGTCTGTGATTTTGAAACTGGGTAAAAAAGTTATGAAGTACTCAAACTATGGAAGAGTATGAAACTGAGAAAAAATAATGAATAGATACATATATGCATTGTCATAGAATTCTTTCTATGATAACCACTGAGAATTTTTTAGTCTTTTAAGGACAACTTTTAGGATGATTTCAGAGCACAATCCCAATTTTTACAATTTATGTATTTTTAATATATCTAAGCAAAACTTTGAAAGGCTATATAGCAAATTCTAGTGAATGATTAGCTGTCAGGAAAAGGAATTGAGGATTTCTTTGTCTTTAAACTTTTTTAAATTTGGTTTTTATAATAAATATGCGTTTTTAAAATCAGAGTTAAAAAGCAAAAAGTCTATCAACTAACAAAAAGATGTGGAAGCTACACATGGTGTCTGGCTCTGAAGGTGCTTGTGAGAGGGTTAAGTTTACATTTAGTTCAGGACATAGCCAAGAGCTTTCATGCTGGATGGAGAAGGTCAAACTTACATATTATATAATATAATCCAGTAACTAATCAAGGGCTAGATGAGGAACTTTAGTCTATAGGTTCTATAGGAGTGTTAAAAAGAAGAGGATTAAGGCTGTCAAAGTGAAACAGGATCTTCAAATACTAAGGGGATTCAGGGGAGCATCACCATTTAGCAGATTGTTGCTTAGGAATCTGCCCTGGTGCTGGAGAGAGGGAAGTAGAAAACTGTACTTGAACACCAATTGTCCTTATGCCAGAAGGCACACCACAACATACAGTGTCTACTCTTCCTTTGCAGGCCAGGGAACTTTGTGCATTGAATGTTTATTTTGTTCCTTTACATTTTGTGATTTGTGTCTATGACTTCAACAAAGACAACATAAGATGAAGGTTAAGATTCACTGTTGTTATCTGGTAATGAGGATTGTTGGTGAAAACTGCTTATCCTCCGCCTTTTCATTCTTGTTCAAATGCTGTTCTTAGCTCCCTCAGTACACAGAAAGAAAGTAATCACTGAAAGTCCTGTCATCTTTAAATATAAAGAAAAATTACACATAGTTGATCTTGATCAAGTATGATAGAGCCTAAAGTTTTTTAGCTCTGAAACTAGAATGGTTAAGAGCCCAGACTTGGAAGCCAAGTAGATCTTGTTTAATTGTAGCTTTACTTTTTAAAAAAATATTTTTTTAGTTGTCAATGGACCTTTATTTATTTATTTATTTATATGTGGTACTGAGAATCGAACCCAGTGCCTCACACATGCTAGGCAAGCGCTCTACCACTGAGCAGCAACCCCAGCCACAGTAGCTTTACTTTTTTCTAGTTGTATGACTTTGAGTGAGGTACCTAACCTCTTTTTATTTTTTAATTTTTTATTTGTTATTTTTATCTATATATGATAGTATAATGTATTTTAATATATTATACATACATGGAATATAATTTTCCATTTTTGTGGTTGTACATAATATGGCGTTACACTGGTTATATATTCATATATGAACACAGGAAAGTAATGTTAGATTCATTCTACTGTCTTTCCTATTCCAACCCTCCCTCCCTTCCCTACATTCCCCTTTGTCTAATCCGAAGTACCTCTATTCTTCCCTACCAACCCTGCTTATTGTATCTTAGCATCCAAATATCAGAGAGAATATTCAGCCTTTGGTTTTTTGGATTGGTTCATTTTACTTAGCACAATAGATTCCAGTTCTGTCCATTTGACACCTAACCTCTTTAAGGCTTAGTTTCCTTACTGGAAAATTGTATAAGAATGTCACCTCTAGTGAATTAACATTTGATTAAGGAAGATAATATATGCAAAGTACCTACACAGGGCCTGAGTATATTAGGCTAATAAATTAGAGCTATTATTTTGGGGCCTACACCTTTAACAGAACCAAAATCCCTAATAAGTTGAAACCAAATGTTCAATCATGAGAGCTTGTCTTGTCCTAAACAAGGATGTTTCAGAAAATTCAAATACTAGTTTGCCATATACAAAATCAGCATTGTGGGTTATAAGTCAATAAAAGCAACAGAAATAAATGCAACATCATAAAGATATACTCCTAACACCCAAAAAACAAATGTCATGTTCTTTTTTTGCCCCACATGTCTGATAATATAGCTTAGAACCACTTTTGGTGAAAACTTCCTTCCTTAAATGTGTTTGTTTAGTGTGTAACAATAGTGTCTTCAGCATTTCAACTCTCTCCTACTCTTTCTAATCACCTAAGCTATACTTGAATGGCATTTCCCCTAATTTCCCTGTTTACTAAAACATATCCTATTATCACATTACATAAAAATATTTCCCCCCTGTCTCTAAGATTCATTTTCTTAAGCAGTATCACATCACCAAGGTTTAACACTGCATTACCATGGGAACATATTGTAATCTGATCTCTCTGCATTATCTAGGTTTATTGTTGTCAACCCTGAAAATATGTCATATCCCTTTTTAACCATCATCACTGTAATTATACCAATGGGCGGATCCTTTTTCTAAGAAACAAAGGTGAAAATTGACATTAAAGTCTTTGAGACAAATTTAGTGGAAGACCAAATTAGCTGAGCTAGAAGCTCATGATACTGACTTTTTAAAAATCACACGAATAGCTGGGTGTAATAGCATACACCTATAGTTCCAGCAACTTGGGAAGCTGAGGCAGGAGAATCACAAGTTGAAGGCCAGTTTCAGCAAATTAACAAGAACCTGTATCAAAATAAAAAGAACTGGAGATGTAGCTCAGTAGTAGAGCACCCTTGGGTTCAATCCCCAGTCCAAAAAACAAAAAGGAAAAAAAAAATCACAGGAATAATATGGAAGGAAAAGCCAAAGGATACACCCTCATTTATATCTGAAAAGGCAGAAGCTTTTGGGCACAATTGAATAAAGTTATACTCTACTGAGAATTTTTTTTAAGTGTAATCTCTAAAGACAAGATGTGAATAATAAAAAAAAGAATCGTCTTCTCCCTGTGGTGTCTGGAGCCCTGCTCTTCCTTTCTCCTGCCCATTCAGGAGGCTCAATAGCCTTGTGAGCAGCACAGCTCAGAAGCACTACAGCCTGCGGAGTCACTTCTGTGTCCCAATAACGTTCTCTAAATCCTCCTGTGGCAGTCAAAGCAGGACTTGCATATTTATATTCAGTCCAGGGAGAAGCTGGGATTTGATCCATTTCAATGCAGTTCTCTTCCTTTCTAATTTAAATTCTGGTAACA